ACTTCCGCGCCCGTCTGCCGCCGCGGCTAAATAGGTGTCGCCGCTCGATCTTGCCGTGACTGCGCAATTTGGCCCCGGGCTGTACGTCAAATTGCAAGGCCAGCGGAATTCAGCTTCCTCTTTCCCTTCTTTCCCCGAGCGAAACGCGAGATTTGCTTGTTTTCGCTCGCACTCGGAAGGTAGAACGCGCGCCCGTCAACAGTAGCTTGCGCAAGCTCGTCAGCGCGAGCTAAGCGCTGATATAGGCAAGTCAATGGCGAGCAGTCGAATCGTACGACGCGACGGCGCTGCCGCGCCCGCGTCTGTGTGTAACGATGCTGCAACTGACACGTGTCACGTCCAAGCTGCTCGCCGGCTATTAATAGACCAGCAGTGCCAGACCGCGAGAGCCAGCTATTAGCAGGAGTCATTTCACGCGCGTTACAAACGTAATTGCCGAACGGCTCGCTCGCGCTCCCGTTCCCTCGCGCGACGAAGGCGCCCTTCGCTCGACGGGGCGCCCAACGTCGGACCGCCGTACTGGCAACGCGCGCGCGCGCATATATTTATGGCGGTTTTTATCCCGGTCGCCGTTGCACAACTTGCCGCGAAATACGGCAATGCGAGTCGCGCGCGCGGACAAGCCGTCGACGCGCCGCCCGCGAGCTCATTTTCTCGCGCGTTTCCCGAGACGGGGACCGTACGCCTTTGAGCATGGGCGCGCGAACGACGTTTCCTCGCTAAGGCGCGGCGCAGCTACGCGCGATCGATCCCCCTTTCCGCGAGAACGCTGGCGCTATCGCTCGGTTTTCGCGAAATGCGGGTCGCCGCTTGGTTTCCGTGCATTCTTACGCGCCAGTGTCGGCTCGCGGCGGCGCCGGCGCGGCCTGTTATTTCAGCCTTGGCTATTTTGGCGCTCGCGCGCCCGCGAGAGCTGCTTGCATTCCGCGCGTAACGAAACTTGGCCGCTCGAAAAAGTCGGCGCGTCGCGGTAGCCGTCGACGTCGTCGCCGCGTCTTTCCCGCGAGGACTCGTCGTCGCGCGCCGCCATCCGCGCTGCCGCGATCGAGGAGCCAACCCACGAGGCGGCTAAATCGCGCGCCCCGTCGATCGGTTATAGCCTGCGCCCACCTGCGAGCGAGCGAGCGAGCGACGATTATACGAAAATCGATCCGTCGTAGCCGTCGTTATACACGCCCGTCCGAATGAATCTACCGCGCGTTATTCAGCGTGCAACCTCGCTTTATCGTTTCCAGTTTATATTTGCCTCGATGAAACACGACTTCTCTCTCTCTCTCTCTCTCTCTCCCTCTCTCCCTCTCTCGCACTGCGCTTTCTCATTCGCCGCCGCGCCACGGAATGTGGGTTAACTTGGAATGCGTGCTATTATCTCAGCCGAAAATACCAGTGCAGCATTATGCGATAGTTAAGTCGTCAAACTATTCGCTAAATAGATTAGTGCAGATCGAGGACGAGAGAGAGAGAGAGAGAGAGAGAGAGAGAGAGAGAGAGAGAGAGAGAGAGCGAAGCGACAAGTCTGCAGCTGCGCGTCTCCGCGAGGTCTTTGTCCCGATAATAGCGGAGAGCGAGCGCGCCTCGTCAAAGAACGCGCGACCCTTCCAATTTGCTCCAATTGAGCGAGAGAGCGCGAGAGGCCTGCGCCGAGAAAAAGGGAGAGGAATAGACGCGAGCGTGCCTTTCAGCTCTCTGTCCTTTTATTTTTCTCGGCTCGGCCGGGCGCGCGACGAGACATTCGCGCTGCCCGATGAACCGCTGTCGCCCGTATAATATCGCTGCGGGCCGACTTCCATTTAGATTCGTTCGCGTTGCGAGCCGTCCGTCGGTCTTGCTTCAATGGCTTTGATTTCAAATGGAATTGCCGCGTCGATTGCATATTTTTGTTGAAATAGATGGGGCGCGCGGCGGCGTTCATTCGTTCCAAGACTCGACGCCGGCAACGGGGCCGCGTAAAACAGTCGCGCGCGAATGCACGATTTTCATCGCCGATGAGGGGTCTTGGAGGACAACGAACACGGTTCCAGGGGCGATCGCGCTCACGGTCTTCGCGTCATTAGCCCGAGCTGCGAGAGCTAATGCGACGCATCGGACGCAGCCGTAAACAAACGATACGATCGCGCGCAGTCGATATCTCAAACTGTCTGCGTCCGTCCTTACGTGTCGGAATATTTAATGCCCGACGTTGCAAGCAGGCGGGAAGGAAGGAAAAAAGAAAAAACAGACTCGTAAAGCTCCAAAAAATAAAAGACCAACGAACATAAATCTTTCGACACTTTCCTGCGCGTCGTCGGATCGTCGAGTCCTCGAGGCCCCTTAACTGCGCCCGCAAGACGCGAGGAGGAAAGAGAGAAAAAACGGGACCGACGATCGCGCGTCTCGGCGGCTTACGCGATCGCGTGGCCCGCGCGCCCCAGAAGCGACATTCTTACCTACGTGCCGCCCATCTCGTATCCGGCGCCTCGCCGCGCGCGAGAATCGACAAACGCAGTCGACGGCGCGTGCTACTCGGCCGGCTTGGCTTGCGCCCCAAAGCTGCGTGCGAGGATCGTTCGCCCGATACGCGTGGCTCGCGGCAGCTACAGCGACACGTCGCACTCCTCGGGGTACTTGGCCCTGCGCGTCGATGCGACGGCGCCGGTGCAACGATGCCTCTGCTCGCGCGACTATGAATCACCGAGTCGCTAAGTCCCGCGACGAGCGAACTCGTCGCGACGTAAATCTGCCCGCGGAAGAATGTCGTCCGCGCGCACTTGCGCGCCGCGCCCGCGTGCATAATGCGTAGGCAGCGGCGGCATTCTTTTACCGTTACGCGACTGGCTTGCGTGAGCGCGACGATAGTTCAAGCGCACTTTCGGGAGAAATGCCGAGAAACGCGCGGCGTTTGTATCGCCGGCGCGAGTTCCTCAATTTAGAGAAGGAGGGGGGGGGGGGCGCGAACGCCTAAATTTCAATTCCGCTCGATTGGCCGCAATTGGAAAATAAGCTGTCTCTCTCTCGCTCTCGCCGATGGTCAATTAAGTCGACGAGATGTACACGCTGCGGCATAATCGTGGGACATTGTGCAGTCTTGCTTTCTTCCTCTTTGCTCGTCCGTGCCGCTCGTGCTCGGGGCCACTTCGTCGACTTCGCGATTCAGAGTCAAGATGGATTTTCTTTTTTCCCCAGAAAAGCCAATTTCCGCCTCGTCCGTCGTCGCGCGTCAATATACGCGCTGTTGTAAAACGAGTCTGTGAAAAAAAAAAAAAAAATAAATAAATAAAAGGCCCCATTAAACGGCCAGTCGGAACTATGACGCGTTGAGCGCGCGGCATTTCGCGCTTTCTCTCGCTCCGCTAAAGCGCTTCGTATCCTCCTTCCTCGCCGCCCTCCCCTCGTGTTTTTTTGTCCCACGCCTAATGGCAATTCTCGTCCGGTCCACCACGCGTTCGCGCGCGTCACTTCCGCCGCGGGCTCAATTTATTAATCGGCCTCGCGAGTGATGCGCCTGCACATTCCGCTTGTCGTTGTTGTTTTTCTTTTTATTGCTCCGCGCGGCCCGAAAACAAAGACGTCGCGCGTCTCGCCGAGATCGCCGTTGGTCGTGTTTTGACCGCGGAATCGACAAATGTTGGTGGTCGTAAGCTCTCGAGAGACCTTGACAAATCTAAAAATAATCTTCCACAAGTCGCTCGCGTTTTCTTATTTTTTTTTTCCTCTCTTTTTTTCTCTCGTTATCTTTCACGAGCAGAGGAAGAAAGTTCGACGAGGCAAAGACGCGAGAGAACGTCGGGAAGACCGTAAAAATAGAGCGACGAAAAAAGAAGGACGACACGCACATCGACTCTGTCTCTTTCTCCGGCGATATCTGCAAACGGCGCGGACGGTGACTCTTTCGGGTGGAGGGAGCATCTGCGTCAGCGAGAGACGAGAAATTCCTGTTCGTTTTATCGCTGATCGATCTTAACCTAGAATGGAGATGGGTGAACAGAGCGAACGGGCGATCGCGCGCTGTCGGTCGCGAGGCTCGATGAATCGCTGGTAAATGGGTTCGCCGGAAGTGACGCCGCTGAGATGTCGCGGCAGCATCAGGTAACGTCGTTGCAGTGTATATCGCACCCTGACACTTCCGCGCGAGAACACCTCCCCCTCCCCTCCGAAGCATCACACACAAGTGCGCGCGGAATCACCGGATAACCTACATTCCAAACGAGCGACGTAGCGGCCACGACAGCGATTGGTCTTTTCTAGGTCCGATGACCCAGACAAACGCTCACCCAGACAAATGTCTCTCGAAACGTGTCTTCCGTTTCCTTTTTTTTGTTGTTTACCAAAACGCTGCGTCCTTTTCTTTTCGTGGAATCTAATGGATTCTTCCTCTTTTTCTTTACGCGGCTTATTTTTGAAGTCTACGACCTATTCTCGGAATATATGCGCATAAGACGGGATCCTTCGGTGTGACTATGGTAACGAGCTCTCGAGCGCGACGTTACGTAAATACGCAATTTGGTATACTGTCCAAACGCCCCGTCACGCGAACGGAAAGAACACGGAGGAGCGAGTCGCCGGTGGCTCGTGCCATTCCTCTCCGTGGAGGGAAGGACGACCGCGGACGCGTCGCACGAGGCGAAGCAGCCCGCGGGACCTTCGGATGAAAATGCGCCGCCCGTCCATGGCCGACGCGAGCGGACGTGCGATCTCCCCGGCGCTTCTCTCGCCGAGTGCTCTTTGGCCGTAAATCGCGGCGAAATTTCGCGCTCGCAGCTCACTCCTCGGCGAGAAAGCGAGCGAGTCGCTCGTTATTATTAGCCCGCGAGAGGCGCGGATTATTAATAGAGGGAGGAAGAGAGAGAGAGAGAGAAAGAGTCCGCCAGACTTCCGTCTCTCGGCGCGCGCGCGCGCGCGCTATCGACGAGCCGCGGAGCGGTGCGAGGGAGAGGGCGACTCCAACGTCGCCTCCAACGTCGCCTCCAACGTCGCCTCCAACGTCGCGGCGGACGCTGATGGGATGATTGGTGCGATTGCAGCCGCCGGAGAACGAGCTGCAGAAGGTCGGCGAGCGCACGCCGTCGGAGCACGAGCTGAGGGTGCAGCGCTCGCTGCAGCGCCTGAACGTGCCGGACTGGTACAAGAACTCGCCGGCGGCCCGAGGAGACGGCGCCACGGGCTTCCGACTGAAGAGGCACTCGGACGCCTCCCAACACGCAACCGGCTGGCGGGCGCTTGGCTCCAAGACCACCTCTCTGTCGTCCCTGTCGTCGTCTTCCAATCGGCAGCCCACCACAGGTACGTGCCGCTTGCTCCGCTGCCTGCTTCCGCCCGCCCGAGCGCGCTCGGCTTCGCCTTTTCGAGCGCGAGCCGCGCGGCTAAATTGGAGTGGTCGCGCGGCCTCTCGGCGATCGTCCCCTCCCCCCTCCGAAATTAGCGTTCAGCGCGATCGCCGCTTGGCGCTGCCGCAACTCCGGGCTCGCGTGTTCTCTGCTGCGCGCCCGTATGCACCTCGAGGCCCCCGACTCGAGCGATTCGATCGACGAGCTCCCTCCGCTGTCTCTGATTATTTTCGCTCTGCGCGCGCGTGCCGCAGAATTATGCGCTCGCCTCGCGCTCTCGGACCCGAGTATCTTCTTCGCTCGTGCGCGCGCCTCAAAGAAAAGATCGCGCGATCAATGTCGTCGTCGGCGAGAGCAGTCGACGTCCGTCGGCGTGCTAAATATAACGCGCGCGCGTGCGTTGGTTGTTTTGCACTGTGACTAACCGAAAAATCCGTCCATCTGCCCCGTTCATCCAGGAGTAACTAATCAAAACAATGTTTTTGATGGCGAAGCGTTACTGAGCCCAAGCCCGACGCCACCGGTGTTCTCGCGATGGAGCACCAGCCTATTGAACAGCGCTGGCAGCTCGCCTGCCAACTCGGCGCGCTCGTCGTTCAATCATCGGCAGCCCTATCTTGGTTGGCGATCGCAGGAACGGCTCGCCAATCCACGCACCCCAGCCGAGAGACTCGCTCAGGGCATACTACCTCAGCTGCAAAACGCCAAACAGGTAATGTCGCCTTCGGTTTTGCACAGCAACGTTATGGCCTTCCGCAAGGTTTCGCTATGGTCACTCGGATAAAAAGAAAGAAAATACAGACGTCAGGTTTTCGCGACAATCGCTGTGAAAGCTCGCTAGAGTAAAGGGACGAGACAGGAGAGAGGACCGGAAGTGAGAATAAAAATGAAAATTACGCAGCGCGCCACGTTCAATTTGTCTCTCTCGTTCTCTCGACGGAATTTTCCAATTGCCGTTTATTATCGTTCCACGCGTCTCTCTCGTGCTGCCGGTCGTCCGCGACAATTCCGCAAGGCTCGCGCGCATTAAATCGCTCTCAATTCCGGAGCCACGCCGAGCGCGCTCCGAAGTCGCGGCCCCGCGCGAGAGAGAGAGAGAGAGCGTTCGTGCGTTCGTGCGTTCGCGCGCCGCGCTGGCGCACGAGGTCGCGCGGGCGCGGCGCCTGCGCGCCTCGTCGTGCCCTCGGCTGGCGATGCTGCTGCCCGCGAGGAGTCTTGACCGTGCGTGACCCGTAAAGAGCCTTCTCTCCCGACGACGACTACGGCGACGACGACTACGACAACGACGACGACGACGACGACGACGACGACGACGACGACGACGAACAGTAAAAGCAGTTTGGGACAATAGTGCCGGTGCTTGCCGAGTCGCGGAATGCGCGACGTGTGACGAGGGCGTGCGCGCGCGCGCGCCCGTGTGTACGCGAGGGAAAGAGGGTGACACGAAGACTCTCGCGGCCGAGACATGCCGAGGAGCAGTGGCGTGGGGTCGACCAACGGGTGCGGCTCACTGACACGACGAATACTCGACGCGAGCGACCGCTGCCTCGCCACTGGTCAATCCTTACCGCGAGACAAACTAAGTAGGTTACATCTCGCCTTTCTTATTGGCCCCGCTTTTTGTTATTCCTCGAGCGCGCGCGGAGGATCCGCGGACGGCGTCTCCATTGGCGTAACTGGGCCGTGCGTTAATGATCAATTAGACGCGAGGCGGCTGTCGCGGCTGAGTTCTGGGAAGCGAACGGACGAGTGCAAGCGTCGACCGGCGTACGGCCGATCGATCGAATAGGCATTGTCGCCGAGGAATCGCTGGGTCCAAGGGTTGTAGAGTCGAGCGATACACTTTCCGGAAAAGCCGCTACGAGTCGATCAAAGTATCGAATGCACCGATCGCTCACGCACCTTATCCGTTTGCTCGACAGCAGCAGCAGCAGCAGCAACAACAGCAACAGCAGAGCTTGAACGGCTCGACGACCACGCAGCAGCCGGCGAATCAGGAGGTGCGCAACTCGATCAAGGAAGTGACCTCGGCAATAGTGCACTACGTGCAGAGCGGCCAAGAAGTGGCGGGCGGACGACTGTCGCCTCGAGACTGGGAGGACCCGGCCAGGGCCGGTACTCGTTCCACCAGTCCGCGAGGTGAGCACTAACGGCCGACCACACTCTCGCTCGCTCGCTCACTCTCTCTCAGTAGTCGCCCGACGAAGACACGTCCTCTGCAACACTCAGAGAGCCACGACAGAGAGTCGACCTTTACTTTCGCGCGTGCCACTGCGCCTTGAGAGAGACGGTGCGCCGCCGACAAACAAAACAGATTCAACCTCCTCCGTTCTAATCACACGTAGCCTCGTGTGCTCGTTTTTCTTTTTGTATGTCTGCTCAAGTAGATTTTGTATACTGTTCCTGTTACGCAATGATATAGTCTCTATCTCTCTCTCTCTCTCTCTCTCTCTCTTAATCTCCGTTTGTGTGCCATCCAAACCGACGAAACAAAAAAAACGAAAACAAAAAAAATATTGCGATCGACCACACCTCCAAGCACACTGTTTTAAGCTCCGCGCGATCAAGGTAACGTTGGTGTTTTTTTTTTCTTTTTTATTAATTTATGTTTGAATGTTTCGCGTTGATCTACTTTTGGGTTTCAACTTTTAACGGACAGCTAGAATGAACATACCTAATGTTTTCATAAGTTCATAAGTTGCAAGCTTATTTACATTACAAAGAGAAAACTTAATGCAGATTATTTAGAATTCTAGCGATATTAACGTTTCTTTTTAAGCTGAAAAAATGATAAAGTAGAAAGATACACTTTTAGTCTTAAAGAATCAAATGAAATAAGCTATTAAGTTGAAACGCAGAGGTATCCGTCAATTAATTGACAATTAATGGTATACTAACTTTCCTTTTCTTACTGATTGAATGATCAGCCTTCTAACCGGGCGGCAACGCCGGCTACACTAACATACCTCTCGATTTCCATTGGCAAAGTGAAAATCAATGTTTCTCGCTGCATTCTTAAATGATGAAAAAGGAATACAAGCAAATGCGCGAATCAATCGAGTCACCAGCGGCTTGATTTTCGCGCGTCTTCGAGAAATAACACGGGAACGGCGTCGCGACATCTGAATAGGCTGTTAGAGGAAATTGACTTTTCACGTGCCATTTAAAGTCGTTTGATCTTTTGTGCGTTTACTAACCCACGCCTTCAGAGGCCGCACGCAGACTCGGTATTCCTTTCCAGCTATATTTTGCCGCTGACACACTCACAAGCGCGCGCGCGCACACACAAGTAGGAATGTAAACTTGGGAGGGATAAAAATGTTAGTTTACGCCCTTCGCTTCATCCTCTGTATCTTCATTCGCTGGCACCCGCATTTGCATATATTTTTTATCCTATAAAATATATCCTATAAAACTCGACGAGAAGGTCCACGTGAATATTTATAAACGTCACGGGAAAGCTCGAACTACAACCGACAAACTTTGGTGTACGGCCCATGAAAAAATAAATAAATAACGCCGAAGGTAAGCTGATATCTGTATAAATAGCTATTGAAAAGCATCTTCACATTTGTTATTGGTATATTGCGCGCACGAAAATTCGAAAGTCAACCGTACGTAGATTAGCCGTTCATCCGTCTAGCTCCAATTTCAAGCGATCGATTCTAATCAACAATTGACCAGCCTAAAGCGGGCGCTTCGAGAGCACTGACGAAAACGGGGAAGGGTAGTGTGCGTACGTGGCGGATCGACCTTCGCCTCGTTCCGTCTCTCGGCTATTTTCGAAATTGACGACCCCCTTCGCCGCGGGTTCCATTGTTTCACGGTCTGGCTCGGCGAAGAAAATCCAGTCCAGTTTTCGGGCGCGCGGCATCGGAACCAAGCGTTCGCCCCGATTATTATTCATCGCTCTGTCGTTTCTCGAACTGCTAACGATTGTTCGGATATCGAACGAATTCTTGAAATTGGAGACGGTTGAACACTGTCAGCTCTGTACAAATGAATGCTTATCTGTATACATTTTTTTTCTTCATATTTTCCAATGCTTTATCTTAGAATTATTATAAATACACTCGTTATGAATCGGTGGACACTGTATATACGAACACACGCACATGACGAATACGTTAGACTTGTAAGGGAAAAAAGTAGATCCACAGCACCAGCAATTCATACGAGTGATCGAGGACGAAACCTTCTTGCATCGCCCGACACGACACCACGCCGTTCAGATGAAATGTATCAAAGTTGTAGCAACGCGAATAATTAATCTGGAGCAACGTTCTATAAATGTTGATCTGTGTCAATAAGCCGGTATATTCATTAGTATATCTAGAGGGATAAGAACAGCGCAGGTTTACACAATCCTCTCCACCTTCGTGTTTCTCGCTAACGACCTCTCATAGCAAATCTCTTAGCTTCAGACGTTTCTTTCCCTTCTCTCCTTCTCTCGCTTTCCATTTCTATTTTCATCGTTACAAATGGCTTCAGTAGTTAAGCGAAAAGAAAGGCAACTTGGGGATGCTTGCGGAACCAATTAAGCTTTTACACTCATTTCTACCTCAGCGAAGCTTCTCTCTCTCTCTCTCTCTCTCTCTCTGTCGGTCGACTAACGCGCAAAAAATGAAACTAACAACCGAAATAACGCAAAGGAATGAAAGCGATGAATACTGAAAGCATGCGAAATCCTCTGCCGAAATAAAGGGAGTACGAGGCTGGTGTGGATGGAGAGCTCGTTCGTGGGAGTACGCCCGGTGGACTCGCCAGATGTGCCAGCGATAGCAGCCTCACCGCAGTCGACGACGTGCAGCCGGTTGGCGTCGCCGTCAAGACCGGAAATGTCGCTGAAGGCCCACGCGACCACGACGACGGGGACGGGGACGGGAACGGGAACGGGAACGGGAATGGGGACGGGGACGGGAACGACGTCTGCTGGGGAAACGAGCGAGGAAGGTGGCTCGACGCCTGGAGTGCAGTGGCCGCCGAGCGACGACGGAGGCTTCGCCAGCGGCGGCAGCTTGCACCTGGAGCTCGAGGATCTCGATCATCGTCACAGGCAACGCCGGCATCATCGGCGAGACTCGCAGCCGCAGCCGCAGCCGCAGCCGCAGCCGCCACCGGCGCCGCAGCAGCAGCAACAGCAGCAGTCGCAGCAGCAAGTGGCAAGCGCCGGTGAGTTGTTGCTCGCCTAGCACCCATTCACTCGCACACTCGACCATGACAACGAACGGATGATGATCGATCACGAATCAATGATTGTGTGTACCAATTGCGACCGCCTTCCCTTTGTAATGCGCGCAAGCTGAAACAATGGCCCTCTACTGTCGCTCTGTGCACACTCTTTCGGACGAAAGTGCCGTTGTTCTTGTTTTTTTCTCTGTCTCACTGGAGCACTCACTGCTAGCGAATATATAAATATATATAAATACGATAAGAAGTGAGAAAGAAATGACTTGTTACGCCTGTATGTGTATTTACCGTTATGTATGATAATGATGACGACAGTGCAATTTTGTTTCTCCGCGACCCGCGCGAGTGTAGCTTACTCTTCTGTCCTCCAGAGTAGTCTTATCTATTAGCGCTTTGTGTATGTTTTTATTATTATTGTAAAGTTGTTCGCTAGCTTTCCTTTATTATTATTACTATTATTATTACGTTATGATATCTTCCACCTCCCCAAGTCCTTCATTGTGTTGATTGTATACATACACCAATTATGTAAAACGCGTCAGAGAGATGTTTTAACGAGGCGCGTGCGCGCACTTCCACGCGTACACGATTGTGCAGAAAAGTGAAAAGAGAGCTATTTATCAGTGACGATTCGAAGATAAAAACGATATAATGCGCTGTTCTCTTGCGTCCAAGTAAACGCGCGACGACGATATTATCGATTATAAGATTGTACCTTTTGACGATTTATTACTTATTAATTTTATTGTATCGATTCTTTTCTCTGTGCATCGCGTATGTCGTACACTCTATTTCTAACGACAATCGAATTTTTTCGTGATTTTTTTCTCTCGTTCTACTTTTGTTTTTCTCTATCTCTCTCGCTCTGTCTTGTGCGATTGTTGCGCGCAACGACCGCAGCCTATCAATTTTTTAATCCCCTTCCCGCGTAACTTTGCGTTTCTTCTCTTTCCGCCAAATTGGATCTTACGTTTTCGCCGTCGTTTCTTTTCCTTGTTGACTACCGTCGCGTTGACAGTTGCAAAAACTCGACTCATGAACGAAGTGGACGTTATGTGTGTTCACGTACGGCGAAAGAGAAAAACTCCACACGCACGCACACACAACTCGTCCGGCAATTATCCATTTTATCTGTAGCTATTATTATTATTATTATTATCATTATTATTATCTTTATCCTTGGCTGATGAAATGAAATGAAAAAGAAATAAATTATTGTTTGTAATTTTTGTGTTTCTCCTACTTATTTTTATTTACTTCGCTCACCACCGCGCATTCTTATTATTTCTTATCCTTTAATATTATTTTTTTGTAGTATAATGTACATGCATATGTACCTTGGATTATGTACTATATATATATAATCGCTGTCCATGCATTTGATTGTCATTTTTATATCTCTATTCTTGTGCAAAAGAGTTTTGCTTGAAACGGTAAGTGATCAATTATCCCTTTAGTTCTGTTATTAATCTCATTATTTACCTAAAATAGCCTTTAGTCTTAGCTGTAACAACTTGAATCTTAGTGCCTGAATTATTTGAGCTTGTGCATTAGCTGGTATATGTATAGTCAAAAACACAAATAACTTTTCTGTATTCCGATGATTGGAATGTGGACAAAGACGCACGTTGGTACCCTGAGAGTAACAAAGGCGCGAATGGTCGACACCGGATATTTTGCGCATCCGGTAACTTCGATTCAATATTGTAATGTTCACACTGCAAATCTAGGTCAACGTAGTTGATTTCAATGTGTGTCTGCGTGCGAACTGTCGTGTAAAAACGCAACCATGTCGGCCGATTTCACAGAACCCACTGACAATTTAGTATATTCGTAATTATCGAGTAGATAAGTAAGCGTTGATTGTTCCGAGCGTAAAAAAAGAAGCAACACGCGTCAACACGGACCAAACATTGACGAAGCTCAATAATCGGTCTTGACGACGATCACCTGATACCCCAACCCTTTGTTACATCCTCCTACGTTGAATTTTTTTTTATCTCGTTCTACCTGTTCCTCGCTAAACATTTGGGAGGTATTGATTGTACTCATCACTGATTTAAAGTCTACGTATTCGACGTACATTTGGCGTCCTGCGATTTCCCAAAGTGTTTTTTTTTGTTTTTTACTGGACGTTAATTGACCACTTACTCTACCTCTCTCGCCCTGTAATACCTAACTCTGCTATGTGCATAGCCAAAACCGAGAATGCGATGCATTTGGACTTTGATAATGGACGTTGATGAATGTTCGCAATGTACACACGCAAAAGAAAGAGATTCGTCACAATTTTCCTGTAATTTGAGAATTGACCTAGTTTTAATGCTTTCCAGCGAATGGCCGGTTTATATGATATTTGCTATACATGGAAAGAGTTTTTTTAATCAATGCTACGCTTTTGGACTCATTTGCTTCATCTTTCGTAATTTATCCATCAAATTGTAAGTAATACGCGCAAACAAGTCTATTGAATAATAATTAATATCATATCTAGTTTCATGAAGCTTTTGTGACTATCAGTAGAGTGCATAATCGTTGGAGAAAAATACCTGTGAAAAGGCATACACTTGTTTTAACGTGGCTTTGTCGATCTCTGTTTTTTCCGTGTGACGCAAAACTATTTCTACGTAAGACACAAATATATAACTAAATCTTCTCATTGAAGTATGATTATTTCTAAGCGATACATTTGTCAATCGATGAGCTTTGAAGCCTCGTTTGCCCATAATTCGTTGCGTAGATCTTAGTCTCAAAAGGAAAGACATCTTCGAAGCAAAAGAAAGAATGCACGCAGTCATCAGGCTAGCACCCTTAAAACCGCTTGCACACCTTTCTTTTATCTCTCGTCCCTCAACCCAAGTATAACGCTGTCTCTCTCTTGTTCAAACTATCTCTGTCTGAACTCTGTTGACGTCTACATGTGTACATCAGAGAAAAGTAAAAAACAATGTTCGACCCCAAGCTCAAGCATGAAAAAAAAATCATCCCAAAAACAACATGAATAAAAAAAAAAAAACCAAAAACTGCTGGGGCGTGATATAGGGAACGCGATCGTGCAAGCATCAATGCATCCGGTGCCAGCGTTGGAGGACTACGTAGCGGTAGCGGCAACCACAAGCACGTTGTGGAACAAGCCGAGCCCAGGCTCGACCACCCTGGAGGACGTGCTGGACAGTCTGCTCGGTCTGCCGTCAGCCTCGAGGACGCCGAGTCCAGGACCGACGCAGCAGCAGCAGCAGCAGCAGCAGCAGCAAGCGCTCGCGCGCCACTGACTCGCGGCCGAGGCCACGACCGCGAGGGCGTCGCGGCCGCTGCTGCTACGTGCTCGCGCTTAGGCGCTGTTCCTCGCGCCGGATAGGGCACGCATACCGGCGCCAAGGCGCTTAATAGAGGACGCCGCCGCCACCTACGAGGTAGGGCAGCGCACGACAACGCCGCGTGCTTCTCTCTCTCTCTCTCTCTATTTTCTAAGTTCCGCTGGACAGAACAACATCCGCTTTCCGCTTTTCTGTCTCTCCCTCTCCCTCTCTCTCTCTTTCTCTCTCTCTCTCTCTCTATTTTGCTCTTGTGCTTTGATGTAACGAGAGAGGATCTCCACGCTTTTAATTCTACCGGCTTTACTGCTCTTGCAGCTTATCTAGCTCTCTTACTCACTTTTTTTTTCTTGCTTCTCACCTTTTCACTACATTTTGGGAAATGAAACCAGTTTGCTATGTCAACGCATTGCGAGATCGGGGACTGCTCACTCCGGAGTAATCCTCGATCGGCTGTCATTCATTCCCTCGTTTGTCGCAGCTTTCATCTATCTGTGTTTGTTTATCACTTTTATCACCTTTCATTCGCTCGGTCATCGATGAACCTCTCCTCCCAATCTCCTCCATGCATCTCTGCCTAGTTTCCTTTTTGTACGACGAAAACCAACCGACGATATGCTTTATCATTGTAGGCGCGTCTTACGCGACGATTAGATCGCTCTTACGACACTTGACGAACGACACCCTGACGGCTGTCTTCCTCTTATTTTCCGTTCGCTCGTCGCACGAGAACGAGACGAAGGGATTTCATAAGTGATGCTGAGTCGATTTGGTCGGCCAAAGCTAAAGCCATTAAAAATGCGAATGACGACAACGAACGATTATATTTTTCAATCTTTGAGGCATTCGTTTTTTCTCTGATTTATCGAATTTTTCAAAACACTTGGTTCGATCGCAATAATTAAATGTAATTCATCAGCCAGTCGTCTGACGAAAACTGAAATCATATTTCACGGACGATAAAAGAGTTTGGTTTAACTGGAAACGTGCACAAACAGAGGGGGAAAAAAATTGGATGACAAAACCAATCGAGGCAGTTCGAAGAACGAAGTGCTCGAGCGGCAATCGTCCAGGTCTAAATGGCTTGAACGCGCTGTCGCCTAGCTCTCGATTCGCGCCGACGACTGTGAAAGCCTGTTAACAGCTGAAAAGAGGGCGGGGAGGGGAGGAGGAGAACTGACGGCTTTGCAGACCGTGCTGTGCGCACTTTGATGAGCATAAGTAAAAAAAATAGCACCCAACACATCACAACATTCTTCGTCGAATAGAACAAACTTACCATTGCACATGACATACATCTCGCTTCATTCATTTAGCATCGAGCATATGTGTTTGTACGTGTACAGTGCTGCATTACGATCAAGTGCGCTTCATCACCGCTCTGTCGCTTTCGCCGACATATAAGTAAGTTTGAAAAATAATGCGCGTACCTGTCGCAGTGCGATGGCACCGAACGCCTCGCTGAATGCGAGTCTGGGAGACGATCAAAAGTCATTGCAACGTTATGTTTTCTTAGCGCCGAGTATGCATCCACGTAAGTACGCGGACGCGACGCAAGGAAAAGCGTTTCGCATTCGACCGAGATTTTAGATGAGCGGTCGTGGCATGAAATTCACATCCGATAGTAATCACATCGCTCGGTAGTCTGTCGAGGGACTCGCAACGGTAAGTAAGAGAGCTGGAGCAAAGCGCGCACGTAACGTAGAGCAAGTAGAAAGAGACGAGATACGGTCAGCCGTACAACTCGCACACGGAAACACCACGCAAAAAACGGCTCGACATCAATCGATCGCTGTTATTTCACCGGCCACGAGCAAACGATGAAAGACGAATGACCGAAGGTGAAAAATCAGCTGTCGTACGCGATTGGGCACGCGAGCTGAGAAGAGAATCTGTTTCTCAAGTGAAATCAAAAGAAACCGCGACATATCAACTGTACAATCGTTGACAATGTTTCCGTACGAAATAATGATTCTGTTCTCACCGTTATAAGCACCATCGCTTCACCACCTCGAACAAACCAAATGGAAAAATAAATAGCCATACAATTGTGCCCGAGTAATGAGTATTTTGTTGACAATTGCGATGAGTTTGAGACGTTTTGCTTGCAGACAGAACGCTCATTACCAGCGGGACGAAAGGAGCCTGTGAAGAGAAAAATCCGCCAACGATAAAAAAATGAATGCTCGTCTGTTTGAACAGCGGAAGCGGGCCAGCACCGCGCGCACTCAACGGAGCCGCAGCGCCAGCAGCAGCAGCCGCCGTTGTGCGCTCGACCGCCGCTGGTCCGCCGTCGAAGCGAGGGCAGCGAGCCAGTGCCGCCACCCCGCACGACCTCCCGGCTGACGAGCCAGCAGCAGCAGCAGCAGCAGCAGCAGCAGCAGCAGCAGCAACAGCAGCAGCGCCAGCAGCAGCAGCAGCAGCAGCAGCATCAGCAACAGCAGCCACGTCGCGTGAGCTTCGACAGCGCCAGCAGCCTGGAGAACCTGGCGAACCGAGAAGAGCGCGTGGTCAGGTGCCGCAACAGCAAGTGCGCCAACTGGACGACGATGGCCGAGGCGCGGCGTAGCTACAAGAGCTGCCACAACTGTACCTGCCTGTATTGCTCGCGCGAGTGCCGCAAGGCCCACTGGACGCGCCACCGGCGCGTCTGCCTGTACTCGCGCGCGTCCAACCTGTGCATCCAGGTGCTGTCGTGCGTGAAGAAGGAGCCGAGCAGCCTGCGCCACGTGTCGCTGCTGGCGCGCCGCGGGTTCGCGGCGCACGGCCGCGGCGCCGTCAAGTGCTTCTTCGCCAGCCCCGAGGCCGCGGAGAAGTTCATCGCCGGCGGCTTCCAGGAGCTGGGCGAGCCGGCATACGCGAAGTGGAGCGACGTGCTGCCGAGCGAGATGGGCGCCGAGCTGTACGCCGAGGCGGTGCGCCTGGTCGAGTCCTACAACCCGGACACGCGGCTGGTCGTGTACGTGTCGGTGTGCGTGGTCAGGGAGGTGCCCAGCAGCGGCGGCGCGGTCATGTGGGAGCGCCAGCCGGTGTCGCGCTGCGCCAAGCTCAAGCTCGAGGGCTCGTGCCGCGGCTCGGCCAACACCAGCTCGTCGGCGGCCTCGGCCGTCGCCTCGCCGCCGCCCAACATCACGCGCGAGATGGACTCGCCCGAGACCCTGGTGCTGACCTCCGCGCCGCCCGACGACGCCGGGCCCGCGCCCAGGGCCGCAAGGGAGGCGGCCTTCGGCAACGTCCAGTGCCAGCTGAAGCAGCGCGGCGTCTCGCTGCGCCGCCACTTCCCGCAGGTCTACGCCAAGCTCTGCAACTACGTGGAGGGCGCCACCAGCAAGTTCGCCCCGGTGACCATCTACCCGCGGGACCAGGCCTCCGGGCGCAGCTTCATGTGCATCATCATGCTCGACGCCGAGCCCGAGCGGCTGCAGCTGCTGCCCACCGACTCGTCCAGGGTCAGGAGGGTCGACGTCGGCCTCGCCGCCGACCACGAGCAGCAGTCCGCTTAGAGCCTCGGGCTCCCGCGGCGCCAGCTTCGCCCGTAACCACTGCTTCCGCGCTCTCTTTCGCTTCTCGCCTTGTCGACCATTTTATCACCGTTCGATCGAGTTCGTTGCGAGTCCACCTGCGCTTCTGTAATTCTGTGATAGGCCGTTCGTGTTCCAATACTCCCGGCGACCGATTACAGGCGCAAACGGAGGGGGTCGTGGACGGCGACGACGACGTCTCTCGTTTCCTGCCGCCGAACGGACTCCCTTCCCCCGAGTAAACGCCCGCGAAAGAAGCTAGTGTAAAACGAATGAAATCCAATATGGGGCCGACGCGGTGGTCTTTCGCGTTGCGAGGTTTCCGTGTTCCGATGGCGTGCGCGTGTAACGTGATTTGTGCTGCGCGCGCGCGCGCAGAGCGATTCCTCGACAAATTTGCTGTCGACGTGTTGCGTTGCTGTAGAAAAAGGCGACGTGTACTCGACTGAACAAAACGCCCGAACGACATTGTACACTTTGTTTTCTTCTAGTTTGTTTGTTTTTTTTCTTTTGCTTCATTCTGCGTATTGATTATGTAGAAAATAGGGTACATGCGCATAAATCGCGATGCGCCATCGACGTACGTGAAAAGAAGGCGTGCAATCTTTAGAGTATTTTTCCACAGCTCTGTGTGCATGCGAAAGCGAGAGAAAGAAATCCAGCGGACAAAAAAGAAAAAGATATTCATTTTCTCATTCGATGAAATTTTGAACGTACGTGCTTTTTTGGAACGTACCGAGATTATTATCATTACATAGTAAAATATAGCGTAGAATGATTAATTCGATTGTCGCGTAAGATTTACAAGCCCGTCTTCCCGCGGATTCTAGACTGTACGTAGAATGCACATAGTCAAGTTTTTCAAATTTTACCTAAACAGCACCTTACGGCTTTCATTGTAGCGCGATAAAAATAAAAAAAAAACAAATAAAAAAAAACTCTCTTTCGCTCTCGACAAGAAGCAAATTGCAGAAGCTCAAGGAACGATCGCACGGCAAGTGTTGTGGATTTGAAATGATATATTTTCGAAGCTGGCCCGCGGCTCGTTGCGTTTGAATCGCGCGCCCATCGCGCGTCTCTCTTGTACAAAACATTATCCGTATGCATAGAGTAGATATCGAATCTCCAGTCTGTACGTAGTTAAGATCCATTGGTTTTCTTTCGTTGACGTGTCGATGTTTAAAGAGATCGACGCTCGCCGCTGCGAGAACTGGAAGAAAGTATGTGAAAAATTCAAGCGCTTCCTGTCGTAGCACGCGCGTCCTGGGCGATCCGGTCTCATCTGTACGCAACAGCGAATATCCCCATGCGTTTTGCCTGTACCACCGAATTACCGCGTTCGCTGTACGCTCGAGGATATCAAGGATTTCGGCCAGCTTTTTCGTCTAAGAAATGATAGTGATGAAACAATCAAAAAGTAATCGAAACATCAAAAGCAAGAATAGCGTATTTATATAGAGATAACAACAAATATATGTTTCTGAAGAAATATTATATATATATATATATATATTTACTCAAATATTCGATATATTTATGTTAAAGGTAATTTTCACGAAGTGTAGTTTGTTGAGAGCGAGACGACGAAATAAAAATTTCGATATATTTAAATATTTAAAAGATATAAATAGAAATCAGTGGTTTCCTCGACGTACAAGCTCGCAGTGCCAAAAAGAAATTTGTCGAAACGAATCTTATGCGAGAGAAATGCCAAAAAAAGTAATGAAAAAGAAAAGGAGAAAAGTGAAAAGTGAAAAGAAGATCGCCAAACGCCTTTTAGATTGATCCTATACATAGCCAATTTGTGTAAACCCTTTCGCCGCAAAACAATGTATCCACCTTCGATCGCACCTTTAATATACATATACTGCAGTTCACCTGAGGCTATGTCGACGAACAAAGATATATCGAAAAATTAAAAAACAAAAAAAAATGAATAAAACTTTGATCGTGAAGGAAGCGTCACGAGAATAACACGAATGTATAACAAGATGAGAATTTAAGTAAGGCTTGCAGACTAATAAAATAATTTTCCGATAAGCTTGAACAGCGTCTTTGTAATAATAATCGTAGCAATGAGACACGTAAGACGCAACGGCTGTAGCTGGCAATTTTGTAAAGTGACATTTGCTACGGCATTTCGAGAAGACGAACCCAGAGTATCTTTAGATCGTTCGACCGGCAAAAATCGAATAGTGCCAATTTCGGTAGAGCGTGTAAATGTTGTCCGTTCGGTCTCGTTTATACACGCTGGGCGGCGAGTGCGCCTGCAATCGACATTTTTTCCGAGTGGAAAAAAGAAAAAGAAATCTAAGAGGCTTATTCTTGTACGACGCGAAACGATCGTATAATAGAGAGAAAAAAAACCTAGCGCAGTAGCTGGCGTGACTATGTATGTGTCCGGAGTGCGATGTACTTTATTTCATATCAATGTGCAATGGTGCACGACTTGTTTCTCCTTCTCGGTTGATCTCGACTCCGAGAAGCACGCGTACCAAATTTATCGTGTAGGATTTTTGATAATTAGCGAATTGACGTACGAACAAGCCATTGTTCCGAGAATAATAAGGTGGCCAAATACGAAGTAGCTTTTGAATAATACAAAAAGATAAAATAAAATAAAATTTCGACTGTCCTTTCGGTTCTCGATTTCTACGTGATCAGAGAGTTTGCGATATTAGTGAAAATACTTCTGTATTTGCGAGAGTTCCTCTGCGGAAACGCGGGCAGCCGAGCCAAGAAGAGCACGGGACGAGCTTCGGCGATGGCGGACGAGAAAGATCGCGACAGACGGTGCTTTGGTGTCTTGCGGCATTTCGTTGACACTGCAAACGGGCAAAGGCCGCCAGGTGGAGGACGATGCGTGTGGGATACAAGTCAAATGAAGAAAGTAAAGATATACCGTCATTGTTAAGTTTAGGGCGTCTTGCCAAGCGAAACGTATTCCGGACGTTTCGCGGCAAACAAGGATTATAATAGTAGTCCAGGATTATAGTATTATATCTGAGTTATATTCAGCCTGCGTTTACCTTCGTGAAAAGCACGACGGCTCGTTTACGCCAGAACAGATTGATTTATGTCCGATGGCCGGTTGAACGTTCGTTCGAGCGCTGCATCGGATTATCGACCGTCTCGCGCGGATCTCTACGGAGCACGTACTGACACGTACCAACACGGGTGCTCGCGCGATAAAGAGTTATATTTATTCGGAGTATGTTGTCTAATGATAATTTTAAATGTTGAATTTGAATTTGACTGATTTTCATCGCGCAATGTTATTAAACGAGTAATATTATATTCTGCTGCCCGCGATATATTATATCTTCGCCCTCTCCCCGTCCTTTCGTCCCAACCCTTCTAGAAGACGTCATTCTTACAAACACGATTCTTTCCTTCCCTCCCTGCTAATGTAACGATGTTATCGTCATGTTCTATCATTGATTTCGCTACTGTGTACGTCTCAATTTTTCAAATAAAATGTTAATTTTAATATAACGACTTGCTTATTCATTTCGCCACTCTTACCACTCTTTATTTCACATATCAGCTATTCTTTCTTACCGTCTCTCCGCTCTTCGCTTGCAAGCCTTGTACGATTAATCTTGTAGCTATTTTCACGATCCGTCGGCTTTTTAAAAATAACATTCTGACGCTCGTCTCATCGCTGATACATGTATACGTTAGCCGTATTGCTCTCGCAACCATCAGACTGATTTCCACTAAAAAGCTCATTTGAAAGCCAACCGATTGACCTCGTGTGTTTCTCTCTCTCAACGGTCATGATTGCAAAAAATTATCCAAGTAAATGCCAAACTTTACAATGCCATCGTTAATCGTCTCTTGAATCTTTCTTTATTAAAATTCTTGGTCGAGTAGTAAATTCGACCTGAGGCGTCTTCAACCAATAAATCGCAGTGAGTAATAAACTAAGAGCACTTACCTTTAATAGCCTATCGATTTTCTCATTAAGCTTGAAGTGCTGGAATTCAGGTTATATCCAGACGAGATAGCATAGAAGAAAATCAAACGAAAAAGCTAGAAAGGAAAATCCAGTGGAAATTATATATCAATAAATGTTTCTTTATTTTTTTGGTTACATCAAACAAAATAATAAACTGAGAAAAATTGAAAGTTCGTTCGTTTTTCATTGGTCTAAAAATAAATTATTAATACCTTTCTTAATACAGCTTTCTTAGGTTCTTAAGTAAGATTAAATACTAAATAATAACTGAACGGCCGAGGCAACAGAAAGATTATTTTGGCAAACGAAAAAGAAGAGCGATATCGCAAGGAAGCATACTTGTTGAGGGAACGAGGTTTTTGAGCGGGCTTAAAAAAAACTAAAGAAAGAAGCCACAAGAGCTTACAGAAGAGAAGAGGAGTTAGGATCGTTTCGTGAAATCAGTCGCATGATTAAGAACAAGCTTTCTTCTTTAATGTGATAATAATTAATAGTCAATAATCGTCTTAATTAACGCATTTTCTTAATTAAGCATTGTCTTAATTATCTTTCTCGTGAATCATCCTGCAATCCTTAGTCTTGAATAATAATCATTTAATTGTTTCTTTGTTTCTTTGTTTCTTTGTTTCTTTCTTTTTTTTATTCTTCTTCATTCAATTAATCAATTATTAATAGTATAATATATTGCCAGAAGTCGCAAATCCATCAAGGCGCGTTTTTTCATCTTTATCGCTCACTCTCTTTCTCGCATCATCGTACTCAGCACCACGCGTTTCAAAATTCATATAATAGTCTCTCCATTTGGCTTTATATGCATTTTTTTTTTCTTCATTCATTCCTAATTGTCTTTCTTTTTCTTTTCTGGTATTTGTTCTTTTTTTTTTGCTGTTTTTTTTTTTGTGTCTTCCCTTGGGGCTCGTGTGTGTTGGTTGCAAGTATATTTTTCCTGTAGTTATTTCTTTTCTTCCTCATCTTTATTCATCTAATTTTTTTCATTTACTTAATTGTTTATTTATAATTTATATAATATATAGATGTATTTATATAGGTATATACATATTCGTACAGCGCATCCCGATAGATAAATAACGAATGGTTACCGCTTTTCTTCGTGCGAATTATCTCAAGCACTATTATACTTCATAGTTCGGGATTTTTTTCCTTTTTTTTTGAACCTTCTCGAAACGAAAGAAAAATTATCCCTTAAAGTATTAAATCCCCGTTTTTTGTTGTATTTCACTCCGTGTGTGTGTGTGTGTGTGTGTGTGTGTGTGTGTGTGTGTGTGTTTGTGTTTTCGTGATTGCGTGATTTTCACTACGCATTAGAATAATTTTTCTTAGTTTTTCTTTAATAACCAAGTAATTAGTTAAGTTTCTTTTAATTCTGTTCATTTATACGCGCAGTAACGTACAATGTATCCGCTTGTTTTCCCCTCGTACAAGCAACGCTCACGCTCATACCTCCATCGAGATTTAAGTATACACGTAGCGAAACAACTTTGTCCATTCACGCGCGCTGTGCAATTTTTCAACCCGAACCCCTCCATTCTATAATGCGGTTTATTTTTCCACTGGTGCGCGAATGCAAAAGTGAATCTGCACATCCAGCCGTCGAAAAAAAGAGAGAAAAAAGCCTCTTTTTAATTTTTAAAATTTTTATAATCCCTTCTTTGTTCTCTTTCTCGTTTAATGTCGCGATTTATTATGGGCAGTGCTTTATGTACAACGTAGGCAAGGACACCGAGCTTCATTATATTAATGTTTTTATTTTTCTCATTTTTTCTTTTTCTTTCACTTTCGTAATTATATATATATATGTATATATATGTATATATGTATATATATATATATATATATATATATATATATATATATATTTATTTGTTCTGTTTTTCTCGTCATTCTCCTACAGTATAACAACTAAATTCAACAATCAACGTATCATTAGTTTTTTTTCTTTTTTCACGTTTTACATCATTATAACATTTAAAAACGAAATTTTCGCGGGCTCCCCTTTGTTTCATAACGAAGGATCGCGATTCTCCGCGATCGTCTTCGGGCGCGAGACCGCGAAAACTATCTTGCCGTTTCGCCAGCATCCCCGTCGTTTGATTTCACGCGACGATCCATTTCGTCAAATCCGCAGAGCCAAGCAGCAGTTCCCTCGATCGTTCTCGCACTCGAACGCGTTCGCACAATTCTTCTTTCCCTCTCTCACCTTTTGTTATTTTATTTTATTTTTCTTTCGTGAAATTTGGTTAATGCATTCGCGCAATTGCATTACACGACGGCTACGCGTCGTTAACAATAAGAAAACGTTCAACTAAAACAATGTATTCATATATATATATATATATATATATATATATATATAACGTGCAAGAGACGACGGTGACGAGGAAAAACGATACAATATTTCATCCTCTCGCGGCGGCTAAAAATAGTGTAAAAAGGAAAGAACGACGCGTTCTTCTCTACGCGCATCGAATTTTTGTGTAATATTAATTATCATTGTTTGTTCACCTATGCTTACACATTACGTATCATTATGTATATAATGTAGACGAGATCTATGACAAGGAGGAAAAAACGATTCGACAACATCGAGAGAAGAAACGGAAACAAGAGAAGAAAGGTTGCTTGTTATTATTATAACTCGTTTTTTTTTTCTTTTTTTTGTTGTTTTTCTGTTACGCTTGCCTGTCGAACGTATCGCCGAAAGGAGAGTCTCCCCTGCGACAGCACGGCGCGGCAACGGACAAGCGGTCGTTGCAACAATAACGACGGACAGAAAAATATATATCGTCCGACGGGCACATCCACCGCCCATCGATTGCGCGCGGCGCCTCGGCTTTCGCTCTCGTTTCGACCGAGCGAACACAATCGGAGGACGCGCGCGCGGCTTCTCTCTCCTTCTCGGGACCTCTCGCTGTATAATAATTAACAAGTTGACGCGACTACTCCTTTCGACCCTTTTTCGTCTTTTAATACGTAATAATAATTGCGTAATATTTTGCTTTCGATTGGCTCTTCTCCACGACCCGCTCTCCCACGCTTATTTCTCCTATCGGGGATTGCGATCGCTCGTGAATTTTAGAGTTTATAAATGCGATTATTCACGAAAGATTTTCTTTTATCTACGCCGTTTTAAGATTTCTCATATAATTAGTGCGCTTGCAATTTGTCTTTCTTAACAACTTATTTCTCACGATCACTATATTTTTTTGTTTATATAAAGTTGCACGAATGTGTCTCGGGCCCTGTTGATTCGCCGTCCTATTTCGATTCGCTCAAACATTCGACTCTCCTTCGCGAGATCCTCTCGACTATTATTTTTTGTTCTTTATTCGACTAATCACTTCGTCCCCTTTATGTTTCTCCTGGATAGTTACATTGTAAATACGCGTATATCAATATAATACGAATAGTTTGTTTTTTTGCTTGTTAATTGTGACTAAGTTTAAGTACAAATAGCTTTGATGGGATGAAAAAGAGATAGAAAGAGATAGATAGACAAATATATCTATATTATAGTATGTCTCGCGTTTATGCACTAGAAAAAGAGGATAAAAGTTTTTTTGTTTCCTTCTTTAATCTACATATTGTTAGTATTATAAGAAAATATTACTAATCGTCTTTTTATCGAAGCCGAGCAGTGTTCGTTATTCGTTTAAACCTTTACGTTCAATTGTATTTTTATTTTTTCATTCGACAACGAAAAGGTTAAAATAGAAAAAGAAAACAACAGTGAAACAATCAACTCGTGGTAAAAAAGAACTAGGTAGAATTTTTTTTTAAACCATCGTGACGCGTTTTTTGTCACCATTGTCAAATTTCTTTCTTTTCAAAGTACAGTATAAAAGTACAAATACAACACTCAATAAAAAAGTCTTTATCAAGTTTTATATACTTGTTTTCTTAAAATATAAAGATCTTAAAATTGTTAGAGGGAGAGAGAGAGAGAGAGAGAGAGAGAGAGAGAGAGAGAGAGAGAGAGAGAGAGAAATTTAAAGCAACGAAACCTGTTCGCAACGTTAAAAAAACGTTCAGCAAAGATTCGCCCCTAAAAAGAGAATCAACGTCGTGAAGGAATCAATCGAGCGTTTCGCACGAAATCGTCATTCATTATTTTGTCTTCTTTATTTACAACGATCTGTTTTGATGGAGTGGTGATCAACGCGAAATACGAGGGCGTGTTATCCGATGCAAGAGATAACGATATACAGAGATTAAGAGAAATAAGGCTACGAAATATATATCGATAGGACTGATCCGCCTTCGACAGATGCTTTCTTAAAATTTTCTCCTACAATGTTTATTTTTTTTTAACATTACGATTCGTTAATCGGCTACATTTTTTAATGGTGCGCGCGCGCGCGCGCGTGTGTGTGTGTGTGTGTGTTTTCTTGTTCGTTCGCTTCATTTCCATTCGTTTTTGACGAGAGAATGCACGATTGGAAGCTGCTCGTTGTTTCTTCGAGCAGTTCACACTTCTTCGTTTCCATTTGGGAAAATGAGCGAACTACGAATCGAGTCGCAATTTATTTACACGAACAATTTTCTGCTACGTAGCGGGCAATTTGTTAAACAGCAATGAGAATTCATCATTTAGCAGTGACGATTTCATCCTTCGTCTACTTTGGATAGTCGTCGATCGTAGATTAAGTGTTTTAGTGTCTACGCTATATATATGTGTGCTAAATTACACACGCACTCCGATTAACAATCAGCCGCAGCGCAGTCCTCGATAGAACTGTTCGTTGCACACTCGCTCGCACACTCCGCGCGCTGTCGCACATCGTATATCGGACGAAAACAACGTGACATTTCGCTTTAACAATTGCAACGATGCACCGAGAGAGGAGGGGGGAAGAGGTGAATGTGTCGTTTTGTGGGGCGTATGAGAGAGAGAGAGAGAGAGAGAGAGAGAGAGAGAGAGAGAGAGAAAAGTGTCTAGGTGTGAGTATACGTACAAAGCTCGAGATTGAAAAGGACAGCGGTGAGCCACACGAGGAGGCGACACAACAGAAAGGCGAAATGTCGTTCGCGTTCCTCTGCAATTAGATACAGAGATGTAAAGAGCGAGCGAGCGAGAGCGACAGAGATTGAGAAAGATACATGTGAATACTCATTTAGTGTTGAGATACAGATTGATTTTTAGTATTTTTCAAAAAACTTTTTATTCGAAAAAAATACATTCCAGGTTGCCTCTACTCATCGAAATTTTATTCGTTCGTACTAATTCTCGGATATCAACGGTATATACGTTTTACGGGAATTTTTTTTTGCCAAGATAAAAGTCCCTGGAACAAGCGCTTCGGTACTTCTCGCCATCCTGAAGCTCACAGCGTGTTGTCGCAAGTCTCTCTTGCTTTTGCCCATTCCATTTAGAATATCATTATTATATAAGAGTTATTCTATAGATTTACAATTGTTGCATGGAGAGATTTGCAGTTATTTTTGTTCGTTAAATGTTTTTAAGTACCCTCTTCACTGTGCGGCTAATCGTCGTCAAACTTGATTCGAAAAGAATGACTTACGCATTTTGCTGTTACAAGAGACTCAGTTAGTACTTATTATTATTATTATTATTATTATTATTTTCTTGTATGTCTGTGTTCTTCATTAATAATATAAGCAAGATTACGGCAGATAGTTTGGATGAACGACTCGGAAGAGAGAGAGAGAGAGAGAGAGAGAAAGAGAGATAGAGAGAGAGAGAGAGACAGAGGGAAAAAAACTCATGTGCGAGTGGCGCGAATCATTACAACTTCCTCGTACGCCTCTCTCTTTGTTTTTGGAACGATTTTCCCACTAGAATTGGCGCTACTAAATTGCTCTAACGATATTGTTTAGGTTTGTTTACTTAGCTTTCGATTGTTTTATTCATTGAATAACAGTAGCGTGGATAAAAGTGAATAGATTTGATTAAATCGTACGTTTAGTATCGTTTGTTTTCTTATTTCCTCCCCCTTCTCGTGTTCGCTCTCTCGGTACAAATTGTATAGAAACGATATACGTGTGTGTGCGTGTGTGTGTGTGTACATAAGAAAAGAATTCAGGTATAGCGAACTGACTAATATGGTTGATCCACTCGCGAAAGGGAAGAAAAGAAGGCGAAAGAGCGTCTGCAAGGCTTGTGAAGAAGCTTTTCGTTTTTGTTTTTCTTTACTCTCTTAGCTTGGATGCTGCACGGGACTTTAATTATTTATTGTTACCTGTAAAAAGCGCGAATGTATGTATGTGTGTGTGTGTGCGTACGCGTATGCTGTGTCGAGGTGTAGGTATATGTGTGGCTTGGTCCCAACCGCTGCGAGACAGAGAGATGAGAGCTCGGTTACGTATCTATATTTATTTTTATGCACGAAAATCGTTTTTTTTTCAATCATTTCTTTACGCGAATGCACGTGACAGTGTTTGATGCGGGTGTGCCTGTAATATACGTGTTTAAGGTGCTATTTAAAAATGTCATACGGCAGTAATAGAAAGTTTCTTTATTTTGTTTATTCAAAGTTTACGTTACATGCTGGGAGAGAATTACGTGCTTGGAAAGTTTTCTTGCGATTTACGGTTTTTTTCATTTTCTCATCGAGTATATTATCATTTGTTTAGCATTTACGTGTTCTATTTATTATAATGCTGTCCCATCTTTAACTTGCATTATTGAATATACACATGAGAACGAGCTTAAATACGATTAAGTACTCTCGGACTTAAGTACACACAGATTTGCCCTTGTCTTGTCATTCTCTCTCTTTTTTTCCATTTAAACACGATTTTCCGCTATTATTTATTGGATGTTTGTTTTCATTATATTGGACGTCTCTCGCCTTCCTCCCGGTCGCTTTTTTCCATTTCTGGCATATTGTTTTCTCGTTAACTCGTTAATCATTATTCACTTTGCTTCCATATTTTTTTGTTTACTTTATTTATTTATAATAATAATAATATACGTGCGCGCGCCTCCTGGCTTGCTTAACAAACGCAACACACTCAAATTTGTCGCATCTAATTGTCTATAATAATTAATAATAGGTAATAATAATTTAATACGCTGCAGTTTTAAAACGATAATACAACGTCGAGGTGCGCGATATTCGAGCGGCGCGGCATTATATATATATATATATGTATGTATGTATATGTATGTGTGTGTGTGTGTGCATATACAAACACATACACACATACGTACATATATATATGTATATTTATTTTTTACAAGAGAGTATACATTAGAAAACCTCCATTGTCTCTTTTTTGCATCGTATATAATTATACGCTTCTTCTCCTTACTTTACTCAAACATCTCTTCTCGCAAACTCCATCCATCTTTCTTTTTTTACTTTCTATTTGGTAAATCTACAATCATTATTTTTTTCATCTTATTATCGTATAATAATTATAATATTTAATTATTAATAATCAACAATTAATCGCTATATATTTTTTTCTTGCGTACAAACAAAACGAGTGACTAGGACGTTAAACGAGGATTCTTTGGGCCGCTCGATAATATCCTTACTTTTTATCATTTATTTATATTTATATTTATAATATATATATATATACTTTGTTTTTTTAAAGAGAAAGAGGATTTTTTCGAGGGTTGGTTTTTTCGCTTTTTTCCATTTTTATCGTCAGCGGAAGAGACAGAGGTAATAGAGGCGAATTTTCGGGATAAAAACTATGGGGAGGTTTGAGAAAAAACACTTGACGGTTAAAACGAGGTTTAGCAGGGGCGGATCGTAGATTGTTCGAGTTGTGTCACACTCGATTCTATTCACATAATAATATTCGTAATCTCATCGATTAATCGTTCATACCGGCATAATGATTCTGCCTTTAAAAAAAAAGGACAAAGAAAGAAAAAAAAGAACAAGGAAAAGAAAAATAATCGCAACAACAAATAATCTCGGAAATATCTATTTATGTTCTTGTCGCTCGTGTGTGCGCGAGGACAGGCTAGTGCAAAGTAAGTATACAGGCATGTTTATTTGATCATTTTTCTCTCGCGACATTTAAAGTACAATCAACGTGGTACAAGGACGTGAACAGAAGAAAATCAGCAGAACAGAAGTACATAATGGAACACTTATGGTCGTCAGTATTTAGTAAAAATTGGGATAAAAAAAATAATAAATACGAGGCAAGGCTTTAAAATGACGAGAAGACAAACACCAGTGACAAGTACAAGCCGAGATTAGGTACTTTATCCGCCCCTGACGCGGGCATAACAACGGTGATTGTACAGGTGAATGAGCTGGATGGAGAGGGAGAGGGGAGAGGTGGGAGGAAAGTCGAAAGTAAAAACAAAACCCTTCGTTCGATCTCCCGTAGGCGAGAGAGAAAGAGCGAGACACGCGAAATTATACATAATGTTAATGCAGGAGGGAGGCTGAAGGTTTTCAGGGCTGTGAATGTTCTCGCGCGACAAGGCTTCTAGGAATCATCGGACCTAGCACCATTCACTGCTAACTATCGTTACGTAAGTATTCATGCGCGATTAATTAAGTATATCGTCATCGTCGTCGCCGTCGTCGTCGTCGTCATCGTCGTCGCCGTCGGACGAAAGAAAAAGCCGTCGCGCGCAGCTCGCGACCGTCCGCAGAGAACATTGTTGCCTGAGAAGCAGATAAAAAGAGAGCTTTGTTGATAGTGTGTGTATATGTGAACGCATTTAGTGTGAAAGGCAGTGGTGCGTTTTTTTTTGGGTTTTTTCTTATTTCTTTTTTATTTATTTATTTTTTTTTTGGTGTTTGTTTCCGACGTTGTTTACGAGCTTTGAACGCGCGCGCGTATATATGAAAACACAACCGCGTTACGTACCAACGAACATAACGGTAGTTTAAGGTAAAGAAAAAGACAGGACCAAAGATGATCGAAATTTCTCATTCTCGTGAATGGTGGTTCATTATTATAGAAAATACACGCGCCGCGACGAAAGAGAAAAAAAATGAATCGACGACAACTTGCACGTTCCCTCTTATTTACACGTGGTGGCTAACGGCACCTCCTCCCCCTCCACCTCTCTTTTACGCGTGAGCGACACATCTGTTTTTCTTTCGACTGCTTTTCACCTTTCAAGAATACAAATGAGAACGAGGAAAAAAAAACACAAGAAATACGGACGGTTATCACGCATTTGCTTAAAATCACTTCTCGTTTTCCTGGCAAATCCTCGCTCTTTCTCTCGTCGCGCTCGCGCGCTAGCACACTTTTCTTTGACTTTATGTAATATCCGTCCTGTCGTCTGCTTATTTATATATGTATAATATATATATACGTATGCATTAACATTCGCACCACTCTTATATAATCATCATGTGTTTGGCTATGCTTCTCTTTCCTGATATTTTGCATTTGTTTTTCAAATCAAATTCGGGCATACGTACGCAGCACAAAAACGCACTCGTCGTCGGACACGTATTATATGTACACACGAATCGTCGTGGGGGCCCGTTTCCACAAATGGCAAGAAGCGTGCACGCACACACAATCACACGTGGTATTCTTTTTTAATCGTGTTTTTTTTTGTTTTTGTTTGTTTTCATCGGTATTTTTTCTTTTTTCTTCTGAAAGAATCGACAGTTTTGGATTCTTAATAGCGCGCGAGACAACTTTTGTATCGTCTCATTACTTGTAATTTCTTTTGGTTTATTTATATATATTTTTTATAAGTTTCTCTCCTGCCCACCAGAGCATATTCTAAATCGTCTTCTAAAAGTGTTTGTTCGTTTTGTTTTGATAATGCTGAAAGAACACACACGCACAATCACCGTTCGCGAATCTTTACATTAGCTGATGTAAGGACGAGGAACGGCGTTACAATGAGAGAGAGAGAGAGAAAAAGATTTATATGCATTATGTATAGTCGCGTTTTAACAATTTTTTTTTTTTTTTTTCAAGTAACTCAAGACTATTAATGACATAACTCGCCAACAATTATTTACAGAAAACAAGAATTGGAGAAGCTGGTTAGAAGGAAAGCACGATGAGACGCTAATCGCACTGTGTGTCCCGATGATAAGTAAAAGGCGAAAAAAAGAAAAGAAAAGGCAAGACTTCTTTGTTTCGACTTGTCTCAGTAGCGGCTTTCTCGCACGGCTGCCTAAAATGCCCTTGTATCACTGCCCACAATGAGGTCCCATCTTGCACACTTCGCCGGCACTGTCTCTCTGTAATGACTGCTGCTGCCTGCTATAAATCTTCTAGAATATGCCCTGGCGTCCACAGTCGCACACTTTGTTGACTGAACAGTTTCGTTTGCGGTTAACACTCGCGCGACAGTCTCTCGCACAAGGACTCGGTATCAGTTGTCTTTTAAGCGTAAAAAGACGCTGCAGCGAAAGCGACGGCGACGCAGACGGCGACGCAGACGACGACGATTATTGCTTCGCTCCGCCTGCTACTGCTGCTGCAATATCATTCAAGATAGATAGAACCATTTTGTTTGTGTGTACCACCATTTGGTTGTGTGTGTGTGTGTGTGCGTGTGTGTGTGTACGATAGAAAGAGGTATAATCAATATATATGTATTGTTTCTCTTTCTATGGCTGTGTGAATTTAGACGGCGGTCTCAGTGTGGCTGTGGCTGGAGAGTCGCTCGACGTCGATTTCGGGTATGGCCAGCTCGTCCGGCAAATTATCCGCGTAGTCGATGCTGCTCGTCTGCGAGAGCCGCTTGTTCAGGGACGACTGCTTCCTCAGCATCTCGGCGATGCTTGTGTTGCTGTGCTCGCAGCGCGAGTCCAGCCCCTGTCGAAATGCGTTCACTACGCGGATCTGCAAGCACAAACAGTGCGCAAGGCAAATGGTGGCGCATACACGCCGTCAATTAGTCAATTTTCTCCACATTTTTTATTTATATCTAAGGACATAATTGTTTTTTTGGTTTTTTTTTGCTTCCTTTTTTTTTTTTTTTGGGAAAAGATATCGTGCGTTGGTGTGAAAGTTTGTTAGGATAAGGAGTTTTTTTAATTCACGAGGAGATAGGATATTGCTTTTTTGTTTCTTTGAAGGAGAAGCGACGCACACAGAGAGACAAAGTGACGTTGCGTTGTTTTTCTCGAGATCAAAAAGATCAAGAGAAGCGTGAATATTTACAGCTTCTGGAAATCGCACAATTACACGAGGGCATACGACTCTTCGAGCTTTTAAGTAATAAGTGTGAGAGGAAAAGAAAAAGTTGCCATGTTTGTCTCGGTGTGTCGTCTTGTATGCTTCTTTACTTTTTTTCAACCAACAACTTTCGAGGTCAGTTACGCAATAATCAAATGATATTCACCATTTAAAAAACCTAGAACAATCTTTGAAAGCAGATATTTTTGTAAGCAGGTTCGAAGGATGTTCAAGCAGGTGTTATTTTCTTATTTATTTGTTTTTTTTTTTTACTTTTTTAGTTCTACAAAACGTATAGTCAACGATATTTTCATCAAAAGGATGCAAGCAACTTCCCCTTCAAAGTTGTTGAAGAGGGTTAAAGGACCATTGTTTTTTGATTTGGAGTTAAGTTTTCTTTCAATAGTTACTAAGATGAACAGACTAAATACGAAACGGTCTTTTAAGTCTGCGAACTTTCGAAAATTCAAGCATTTAATTATTAATAAAAAAACAATGAAAAAGCTGAAGCTTGTTAATGCTCGAGTAACGAGGCAAATGAGCTCGCAAAGTTTGTCTTCTATTAGTAATTGAAAATCCAAGCACAAACATTGCCATATAATGTAGAATAAATTATGTAATTAGATTGCAGCCCAAAATCAATGAACGCTGAGTGGAAGTTATATGTTTCCTTTTCTAAGCTAACATTCATCTATCGACATAAATCTATATATGATTTGTCATGATCAAAGTCTTCGTTAATCGCGCTGTACGCGAAGAAGCCAGCAGCGGCAATGCAAAAGTCTTACTTGTTTTCAAATAAAAAATGTCTTTTACTACGCTACATGCAGCCGTCGCCCCGTAAAACAAAAGTCCTTTTTTTCAATATGTAATTCGTGTGTCTTTTCATAAGATCAGTAAGTTACACCAAATGGAAACACAATTTCTTACGTCTTTGACAAATAAAACATCAAGTAAAGCGAACACTCCTTCAAAAATCAAATGAAAGCGGTTAATTTAATCGGAAGCCTACGTATAAACAAAGTTTTCCTCATTCACATTACAGTGAAGCCAAATTTTTATCTATTGGATTTGTATAATATACAGAGTGCTCCGTTAATTTTTGCTGACATTAAAAGAAACATTGAAATTAGGTTGATTGATGCCTCGAATCGTTGTTGACACGTGATTAACACAAATAAACAGTGTATCAATGCTCAAGTATTATGTATAGTAAGCCAAAAACACATTCAAACCCTCAATATGCGCATTACAAAAATATTCAGTGGATTTTCAATGAATGATTGGCAACAGCGACGACATTAATAATAAGGAAGACTTATATAGTTTATAGCGAAAGCCACGTCAATGAGCGATAAAGACGAGTAAGCATCAAATGTTTCCGTGGCACGATTTTCAACGAGAATACAATAAGTAACTTATTCGTACAGACGTAAGGCAGAAGTATAGGTGTAGAAAGAGAGGAAGGTGAGAGAAGTATAGAAAATTGATAGATTTATCACAGATAAGTAGTATAGAAAGTAGAGAAATTGTTGTTAATGTTGTGATGTGTTAAATTTTCATTTTTAATTGCTTTTTAAATGACGATTCACACTTTACGTATGAGAACATTTTTAACTCTTTTTCAACATTTCATCGTCTCCTTTTATCTTACCTCGCCGTGCCTCACCTTTAACTTTATCTATGAATCGTTAATATTCACGAAGAAAGCGATGTACAAACACATTACGGATATACAAAACAAAATATTTGAAAAAAAATTGATATTTTTTTTGTAACAAGCATATTCAAGGCAGTTAACAAGCAATACAGGAAAGCAAAAATTCGGTTTCATGAAAGATAATAATAAGGAAGCACTCTGTATAAAGCAAAAGCATTGCTCGAAAGCTAAATTTCCTTTGAACAAAAGTTTGTAAAAAACGCATACTGTAAGCTAGTTGCTTATTTTACAAAATGTGAGAACGAAACAGAACATTAAATAACTCGAGATAGAAGTTGAAAACTCCTCTATCAAAAAATTGTGTTAGCAACGATTATAATAAGCACAGTCTCGCCAAAGACTAAGCGTACGGCAATAGGACGGTGTCATTTTATATAATTCGTGTATAATATACAAAAGTCAAACACGAATAGTAATCACATAAAAACAATATGATTACAAGTAAATAAAAAAATGACGTAAATTGGAAGTAACGTACATAAAATTCGACATCGTTGATATGTATGTATGAATATATATCAACGATATACTATTATATATATATATATATATATATACACGCAAAGTATCCTTGAACAATCAAACAATCAAATGGTCAACGAGCCATTGGGAAAAAAGTCTAAGCATTTATACATAAATGAATCATGCTTTTTTGATTGGTTACGCTTATATTATAGAAAATAACTGTAACGTTAATAACATCTTACACTTGTAGCTGTTAGTATTTATAATCTCATTCTGGGTGTTAATGGCCTAATGATTGTTGTTTTGATTTTTCTTGTTTTTACAAATGTGTGTCTTTGTCATTATGTGGTGATAATATTGTATCAAAAATTGTAACATAAAATTGTGCTTAGGTGTTGCGAAACAGTGGAGAATTAAATATGAAATAAAAAAAATTTTTTAACACAAATATAACACGTGTAGACAACAAGAAAAAAACATAGAAAATACAAAGCAAGAGTGAAAAAATAGTGAATAATATTCAATAAAAGAAATTTTACAAGATCCTAAAAAGTGTCTATTGTTGATAAAGATGATATAAATTTGCCATATAAGTTTTTCCCGTTAATGTTTTTATTTTGTTTTTTTTTTCTTTGTGTACTTACGCTTTTAATATTCAAGAAGTAGTAGAAAAGTGGAAACTCTTTTTTCTTATCCACCTGCTCTGTCTCTTGTATAAACTTCATAATGGCCACAGTTGAAGGTAGTTAAGAACTACGGTTCTCTTCGATCAGAATTTTTAATATAGTTTTACTTGTATATTTTGTTTGACAAATTATTAGGCTCATGACTTATACAATATAATATCGTTTCTTCGAGTTCGCTTTACTCATTGTATGTACGTTTTTCATTTTTATTTGGGAACATATGTAGTAAACTACGGGTGTGAAAAAAAATGTTGTTTGGATTGTTAGAACTTTTGCAAATCGTTGCTGTAGTCATTAAAATGGTAATTCGAAGAAAATTGTTCATGTCTTTGGCAATTATAAAAATCTTCTTCTATAAGGCGTGCTTTTTTGGCAAACCTTTTCTTTTCGAAAGTTGTTGGACTTTCAATAACAGCATTTCCTACGTATTCGAATCTCTAAATATATTTCATATAAAATGTCTAATAAACCTTTGAAAGCCTTTCAAGCTGCATCCACAGCAAAGACATAGTGTATATAGCCAAAGAACGTTGACAATGTGTCAGAAATTAAATATAAAAAACAAAATAAACAGCAGAGCCGGGCAACTACGCTTAGAAGCAGTACGCATAAATTATATATTAATAATTGCTAATAATAGTTGAATAACAACCGTTACAAAAATAAGTTTCGTCATTTTCGTTATTGTAACTATTTCGTGAGGATGCTTCTAAATATATCATTATCATTGTTTTAAACCAAATTCACATCTATAAGTAGTCACAAATCACAACTTTTATTCATCTCTAGGTTTACGATAAATAAAGTTTTTTTCAAAATAACGTGCTCTTTACATCTTACAATTGTAGATTCGATAAAGTGGTTGGAAAATTTCTAAATGATTGCAGAGTAGAGTATTTATTTTCTAACTAGAGCTTGAAAGAATGCTTAAGTAAACATGCATTGAAAATATACTCGTATTGTTCAATATCGGATGATATTCAAGTGAAATCATTCAACGTTTTCCAAATGAAGTCTCGAATTGGTTAGAAGCATCCGCTTAATAATTAAAAAATTCGTCGTTAATGAATTCCAAATACATACAACGTATCACAACGTTCCGGTCCATTTGATATCAAGTTGTCAGTAGAAGGATTAGGAGTATTGGGAAAAGATACAAACGTTGAACAGCATACTACATAATATCTTAAAATTAAAATCATACTACACAAGTAATAAAATATAGTAACCATGGGAATAAGATTTTAGGTCTAATCAATTGTAAAATCGAATTGCAGGTAACCAAGTGGAAGTTAGTATAACATCAGCTGTAAGTCAACGAGTAAAGTATTTGGATATATGGATGCAACGTCTTTCTCGGAAAAAAAAAAAAAAAGAAAATTAAATCAACAGTTTACGAATAATCAGCGATCATTTCATTTTCATTACAAATAATAATGGTGTTCGGAATAAAAGTCACAATGTACGTATCATCGTCTACACTGTATAGCGCTTTGGAGCACATGCAAGCATGATAATACACATAAGAGATATATGAAAATAAAAAGAATACTTTGTCGAAGAGCTTGCAAGAAAAATACGTAGAGCAAGACGTATAAAAGTAACAAAGAAGGCATCATATATATGATTATAATATATAGTCATTCATTCCCTACGGATATAAAAAGAGAAACAGTGAGTGTCAAATGTAAATTGTGCAAGTCTCGAAGTGTTAAATGCGAGATTTTGCGGATACACGACACAGTTAAGCAGACACATAGAGCGTATATGATGTGTCAAAAGTGTCAGAAATCAAGAAAATGACAGAAAGGAAAACAAAATAAAACGAAAACCTTCGGGAAATGGAAGATCTGAAAAATCAAACGAAACAAAATAAAGAAGACTAAACAATATCATGTTACGAGGTTATTTCGAAAGCCACAAAGCCAAAAACTCTATCTGAAGACTCGATATAGAGAGAAGTCGTCGAAGCCTTCAGAAGCGCATTGAACTTGTGTATGAACTCGAAACATCAAAACAAAAAAAATGTAATTAACATTAAGAGGAAACAAACAACTCGAAAATTGAAAAAAAAAAAGATTAGTAAGTAAAATCAAAACAAAACCAGCCAAACGTGATCGGGTTGAGTCAAAATCAAAATGAAAAGTAAGAGAGGGAAGAAAAAAAAATTGAAGAAAGTATGGGTGATGCAAAAAGATTTTGACAGCGCAGAATAGTCTGAGCAAGAGAGAGAGGAGCGCTTACAGCTTGGTCTGTCGAGCTCTTGCTGTAGGGTACCGGTATCAAACGTTCCTGCAACTCGCCACCTATCACCTTCAAGAGCAAAGGGTAATATCATGGTTACAAGAAAGAAAGAACAGAGATAGTGTGAGAGAGAGAGAAAGAGAGAAAGAAATAAAAAAAATGTAAATACAAGAGAGTAAAGTGAAAAATATTGTGGGACGAGGTGCTTATCGAGATCTAATATTCCTCGGAATTAAAGAAACAATGGACGTGAAAGTTACCGTTATTCCACTATATGTACATTGGTCCCTTTTTATACTTTCATGTCCACGTGCGGTCTTTTCAAAGACATTGTTGAAAAGTACGTATAATGAAAAGAAATTAAGAAAACAAAGTACAATATCAAAACCATAAAATTAGACGAGCATTCGCGTGTCAAGATAACGAACAAAGCACAAAGGTACTTGTCGTGTATAATTCAACTAGCCAACACAAGAAAAAAAAACAGACTAAAAGTGCGAAAGGTCGTTGCGACAGTAGATAGTTGTAATAACAAAGTTAAATTAAATTGTCAAAACTGACTAACTACAAAGTAAACGGTCAAAACCATAGATAGAGATATAAACGCGGAAAAAGGTCAAAAAGTATACATATGCAATTAAAGGGCTCTAAGGTAACTAATAGTAATCATAAATTGATAATTTTCATTTTGAATATATGATCCGTAGAGAATAATGTTTTATCATATTGTTTACAAATCGTTATTTCATACGCGTAAAAGATCCAACGAGCGTGAAAAAATACGAAATTGATGTTACATGGATATTGCAAAAAAATAATTTTGCCTTCACTCGTTTATCAACGTCCGATTGAATTATCGATTGACCTTTATTCACTGATAACTCAATCTGTCGTTGTATGGTGTGTGCTTTTTAATGTTTTTTACTGCGCATTAATTTAACGCTTGTCTCGCTCATCGCTTTTACGTTATTTCTATTTTGTTTTAATTGTGCAGAGTGATATGTGTATAAGAGAGAAAAAGATAGACATGAGAGAAACAGAAATGAGAAAGTTACCGTAGATAGACAGAACAGACAGAGAGTAGTGAAATAGTAGATACAGGTGAATAATTATATAGTTTAAGACAGATATAGAGGAGGTACTGGTATAAGAAACAGAATGATAGAGACACAGATAAATACTGATTTAACAGGTACTCATGTTTCGTCATGTAGTAATGCGATTTAAGTAACTTTTGAAATACTTGAGATTTATATATACGAGTTTTTAAAGAACGACAAAGTGGTAGAGGTATTGTATATAGAATCAGAACACATATCAGTGAAATGATGGCAGTAAAAAAAATTCGAATTAATTTCGAGACATTGTCTTTGTATACATATAAAGCTATTTGCTTTTTTTGATTAGCAGGCACTCGATTCATCGGGAGACACTGCATTAATGTTTCTATTGTATTAAAAGGAAAATGCATCAGTAAAATGTCCAACCGCAGGAGCGACCCGTCTGTCATTAGTTTGGGGGAAATCGTCAATAACGTTTGTGATAATGGGTAAGTGATATGTAACATTGACCTACAGTATCATTTCAAAACTTTAAATTTTAGAGTCAGTGAACGGGAGGATTTTACATCCGTGTAACTAATTCAAAAAAAACCAAAAAACAAAAGATTTTTTATTTATTATACGGCAAAATCAATCCACCCATAATAATAAAAATAATGTAGACAAAAACGAGATTTTTTTAAGAAAGATACAGTACTTTTATTGACCGTCGAAGTTAGAGTTCAAAATATTATTTTGCGGTTTACTAAACCTTCAACCTAAAACGAAATCTCGAGGGTTACTTATAATTTGTAATTCATACAGTTTCAATCGTATCGAGACGCTGCAACATTCATTTTTTTCTTTTTATTTCATTTTTCGTTAATATTCGCAATTATTACATGATCAAATTTTAACGTATTCAACGTCTGTTTTTTTATTTGTTAAATATATTAGTGTAGATTGGTTGCTTGTAATGACTACGTACATTTTTGTTATAGTACAACACCGCTTAAAACAATTGGCAGCGGAAATGGCAGCGCTTCCGGTTTTCCCGACCGCCTAAAGAGAAAAAATTTAAAAAGTCGCACTATGTCAGTAAAGTTTTCATTGTTCGCGTTTGTTGCTCGTCAATATTTACGTCCCTATATCCCTACATTATACATTTCGTGTTCTCGATTATTCGCAATTGCATTTTAAAAATCATATATTTATTTATATGACCAAAAATAGTTAGACAACCATATAAAATTGATAAACTTTATTCTTCCTTTGATTATTTTATTTTTGTTTTTTTTTTACAAATGTACAATACCTACACTAAAACCAATAACTTCCTTTTTTACAAACAATTAATATATTATCCTTGAAAATTTACTTGACCATGTGCGTGAAGATTTCAACAAAGACAGATAACTTTGAGTTTCTTTCTTGTAATATTTGTATGCGTACATTGAAAGATTAAAACATGTAGAGAATAACGATCACAGGCGGCCACGAAAATCGGTTCTCTATTTTTAATTGCGCGTCACTTGTTATACACAAAGTCGTAGTAACGTGTCTTAAACTTTATGATAGTAATATATTTAATATATAACATATTCTATGTATTAATGTATATTAGTTGTTGTAATAATAAAGTTTGTAGGTAACTATTTTAAATTGCTAGGTTCAGTGTTTTTAAAAAGCTAGGTTATTTTGTTTTTTGTATCATTGCGTTAATTTCATGTTTTTTGCTTAATTTGTCCTTGTAACTGACAAAATTACTTATATTGTTTGGTTGCTTGTTTAATAGATATCCTTATTTGTTAACGTCAAAAGATTTCATAAAAAGTTAATATTATTCATTAGACTAAGTTAATAACCTTAACGCACATGAATTCCTAAACTTTGGAATACCCGTTTGCGTATACATATCGAGTGTTAACTCCTCAAGTAGAAAACCATCATTACAATGATCAATCGATATATATCATCATTTTATAAAAACGCAACGATTAAAATTATGCAACAAAAAGAAATCGTTAAATAACTTTTAAATAAAGCGGGTAATTAGTTATATGATATAATCATAAAACTTTATCATCATTCTTTAGCGAATGCGAGTAAAAGAAATCATCATATAGGTTATTCGTGCAGTTGACTGTTCAAATTAATTGTGACTGCATAAATAATTAAGTTTAATATTTATAGCACACATTATAATATAAGTACAGAGCATGCGACTCATCTACATCTGTACGGTCGCCCACGGTTTCTTTTTGTTTTTATATATTCTAGAGTACAGACTGCCCTCAAACTATTATTTCGTTATCAACGCACGCTGTGCACTATTGAAAATGCGAAAGTAACATTTCGCTTTACTCACGTTTCACTCAATTTTCTTAAACTTCCGCGCACTTTGTTTTGTCTTTTCATCCCTAACCCGTTAGATTAGCATAATTATTACTTATAATTCATTACAGGAATTAATTCTTAACGTTATTATCATAAGTATTTTATCGTCTTAAACATGTATAATAATCTCAACAAACGCGACAGGCCAACAAATTACGGCTTGTACTTTAAAAAGTTCTACGGAGAAAAGCTACAACGATTAGTTGAGAAGTGCAAAGCGAACGCGATTTGCGGATGAAGTCTCGAGTGGCTTACAAAATGAAATTACAAAAATTCCATTATTCTAAACAAACATTCAATAATCATAATAGCATTGATGATTATAATAATCGTTACAATCAAATAGAAATAAAAATATAAAACTCAATGACAATTAATCGCAAAATAATAGATAATTGTCATGATTACTAAAAATAATGTAATAATATTAATAACATAAAATAAACTTACATTGTAAAATCGAGACTGAGAGGCCCAATCAACGTTCTCCACGGAACCGTTGTCGCTTACATTATTACAACGTTAAAAAACTCACGGTTATATTAAAGAAAATGCATTAAAAATACGATATGAAAAAAATAACAAAAGTTAATGAAAAGGGAATCTCAAGGAGCATTACAACATAATCGTTAGATGATGCGAAAACGAAAAATTGGTGCAATGTTATAAAAGCAACTAACGTTAACGATTAAAAGTATGATTGTCCCATTAATTGAATAATGGGGTTATGATTATTCGTTAGCTCTACAATTTAGATAACATTTCAATTTTATAAATTTTTCCTTTTAAATCTATATTTATTGCTTTGTCCACGAGATTGACAAAGGTCGAGATTATTATAAGTACATTTTGCTCATTTTTTGCTTCGATAAATAAGAAAAAGAAAGAAAAGTATAGAAATAGATGAGGAGATAGCGTAAAAGTGCAGCAGTTCGACATACGAGGTGTGTTCAAAAAGTAACGAGAATTTTTAAATTTCGCGGGTTTGGAGAGTCCGCTTGTATAAAATTTTTATTATTTTTTATTATGTTGGTACACATGCCCCTGAAGTACGATAAAATTTTCAGCAATATTCATTGCTTACTTTTTAAGTGGCAGCCGCTAACGTTAGACGTGTTTTTCGAGCTCGGCGATTTTCGTTTGTGAAAAAAAATGGATCAAAGAATTTGTATTAAATTTTGCGTAAAAAATGAAATAAAGTGTAGTAAAGTTTGTCAAATGTTAACAAAGGCATATAGTGAGTCTGCTATGAGTAAAGCAAGGATTTATGAGTGGTATAAGCGTTTCCAAGATGGCCACGAAAACGTTGAAGATGACGAACGACTCGGACGCCCAAGCACATCAACAACCGATGAAAACGTGAAAAAAGTGAAAGAAATGGTTATGAACGATCGCCGAATCATAATCAGAGAATTCGCTGATGATGTTGGCATATCAGTTGGCTCATGCCATCAAATTTTTTCGAATGTTTTGGGTATGAAACGTGTGGCAGCAAAATTCGTTCCAAAATTGTTGAATTTCGAACAAAAACAGCGGCGAATGGAAGTTGCTCAGGAGTCGCTAAATGAAGTCAATAACGATGCAGAACTACTAAAACGTGTTATAACAGGTGACGAAAAATGGGTTTACGGA